CTCGAGCTCACCGACGTCCTTCTCAACATCGGTGATCGCAAAGAGCTTCCTAAACCCGAGAGGTCCGCCGATCCAGCTAATGCCGCCGCTGAAGCAGTTTATGCTGCTGCACTGCTCAAGTACAAGAATTGGGAGAAGGCCGATGGTGCGGTCATTAGTGTCTTCATGGGCACCACTCCTCCCGAACTCGTCGAAACCTACCACAACTACCCGTCTGCCAACGCCATTTGGCTCTACCTCGAGGATCGCTTCCTGAACAAGACTGCAGTGGGAGTTGCTATACTCATCCCCAGCATGTTCCAAGTGCGGCTTGAGGACTCGCCAGGCATGGCGGACTATGTCACCAAGGTGCAGTCCATTCATGGTGAACTCAAACAGTTGGGGATAGTCTTCCCCGAGCAAGCCCCTGTAGCCGCTCTCCTAGTCGGCCTCACTCCGGCATACGAAGTCACACGCAAGATGCTCTTGGGCCTTGCTCCTGCAGACCTCACATTTCCCAAGGTCTCATCCGCGCTCCTTTCTGCCGAAAAGGACAACAGCGCTCAAGCCAAGGCCAATGCAATCCGCGCTCCCGTGCCTCAAGCCTATGCCGCTTCGGTGCCATTCCAGCGCAACCGCTTCCCCCCGTGTCCCTACGTCATCAAGCGCGGCCCTCGTGCTGGCCAGGTGTGTGGCGGCACCAACCACGCCCTTGCCTCCTGCTTTAAGAAGAAGGATGACGATTGGTATGCCGTCAATGGGACCGCCTCGAAGCCGCCAAGCTGGATGGTCAATCGTGCTCCTCGCCAAGTCAATCAAGTCGAAGCGCAGGAATCCGTGCAGGCTGCTGTGGCTGCACCTGCTGATGTGCGCCTCAACATGTCGTTCCCTGGCACTGCCATGATTAATGAGACGATTTCGCAGTATCCTGGCTCACAAAGCACCTTAGCCACAATAGAGTTCACCCTCGACAGTGGGGCCACTCACACGGTTCTCAAGGAAGAACACTCCTTCAAGCCATACGAGACTCCAATCCGTCTACTTGGAGCAGACTCCAGTTTCACAACACACGCCAAGGGCTCCTCCACAGTTCCGTGCCCAGCTTTTCCTTCGGGCAGTGTGACCGGCATGTGTGTTCCCACACTACGCCACAATCTCGTGGCCCAACACGAGCTCCAACGGGCAGGCGTCACCACGATCTTCCCAGCACACTCGAATCACTGTGACCTCTTCGACCCTAAGTCCAACAAGCTCCTAGCACGCTTCACACTCAACAGTAGCAAGCTCTACACGCTGCGTTCACCTGCACCTCTCGCCGCCCTCTCCCAAGCGCAAGCTGCCAGCACCACTCCGTGTTCGTGTCGCAGCTTCGCCAACCCAACCATCCTCTACCACCATCGCTTGGGTGACCCCAACTTCCGTACACTTGCCGACATCGCTTCCAAGAAACTTCTTCTTGGCCTCCCGTCGGCGCTTCCTCCACCAACAGACTCACTTGCACCCACCTGCCTGGACTGCACCAAGAGCAAGCTCAGGCAGCAGCCGCACCCTTCCTCCCCATCCATCGCAGCTGCTCCGCTGGACCTAGTGCACATGGATGTCTGGGGCCCAGCTCCAGTCGCATCCCAAGGCGGTCATCGGTACTTTCTTACACTAGTCGATGACCACTCGCGGTATGTTTCTGTGCACCTCCTGCATACCAAGGCGGAGGCACCTGATGTCATCATGGCGTGGGTGCGCCAGGCTCAAGTCACTTTCAGTACTCCCCTGAAGTGCCTCCATTCTGATGGCGGGGGAGAATTTCGCAATGGCAAACTCGATAACTTCTGTGCGGCCCAAGGGATTCGGCAAACCTTCACGCTCCCCGAAAGCCCGCAGCAGAATGGCATTGCAGAGAGCCGCAACCACACCTTGGTTCAGATCGCTCGCTGCCTCCTCAGTCACGCCAACGCACCACGGTCACTCTGGGGATATGCCCTCTTCCATGCGGCACTCCTCTACAATCTTTATCCGCATCCCCACCGGCCCGACACCACACCTACCGCTCTCTGGCTTGGGGTCACGCCTTCCGCCCGCTCTCTACGTGTCTGGGGGTGTACCGCGTATGTGTTGCTAAGCCCCCACACGCGCAGGAAGCAAGGTGGCAAGCTTGGTCCCAAAACCCAGACCTGCATGTACCTGGGGCACAACTCCGACTCCCCAGACTACTTGTTCCTCAACCCAATCACCAGACAGCTGATTCACAGCCGTGATGTCGTCTTCGATGAGACACGCCCATTCCACTCTGCGACCACGGGCGAGCCTCCTCCACCTCCCCCGACGCTTGTTTGGGCAGACTTCGATGCCCCACCTCCGGCCGCTGCCCTTTCTCCAGGGCCTTCTCCGTCCGGCGTGTCTCACCCGGCCTCCCCAGTATCCTCCGCAGCGGCACCTCCTCCTGCTCCGCCTTCCCCACGCGTCGAGCCTGGCTCACTAGTCTCCTATCGGAGGCGCCCAGTCCCTCCGGTCCCACCGCAGCCGCCTTCGTCTCCAGTCTCTAGTCGCACTCGTTCCAAGGGACCGGCTCCGCCTTTTCGCTTGGGGACCAGCCGCCTTCTCCATCCGGTGTTCGGTCACCCCGCCTCGTCCTGCCAGGGGTGATGTCCTCTCCATCCGTATTCCCCCCTGTGCACTTCTGGAGGACAGGCATGAGGAGCTGTTTGACCTTCATGTTGGTTAGAGAAGGCTATAAGCAGATGATTCAATGGCTATTTGGAAATTTCTGCAGCACTTCGTTATGACGCCCAGAAAACTCGCGACCTTCGAATAGCTATATCCAAAACTCCAATCGATGAAACAATCTGAAAATCGGTTATGTTGTAGCTGGCAGCGTCAGCTTTCCACTGAAAGTTGAATCACTCGATTCCGTAGCTTAACGAGTGAGCTATGGCGTTTGGCGCATTGGGGGGTAATCTGCCCTAGGAGAAGTTGACAGTCCTCAGAGTCACTATGATTGAAGCTTACAAGATCAGAGGCATGATAGAAAAGGCATTGAAGCACAGTTGGAAGGTGGGGTAGGAAGGGAAGGATGAAAGGGAAGGACCCTGGAGGCCCATGGTCAAGAACATGACAAGAGTCAAAGTTTTGACTCCCCATCCTCAGGTTCAGCCAGCCTGGCAAGACAAAATTCACACTGTGCCAGGTTGGCCTCCAAACCCCAAATGCTGCAGCTGCAAGGTGGGGACAAAAGTCCCACACATGCTGGTCCCTCCTCGTTATAGGGCTCTCCAACTTTGGTCTAGCAGCTGACAAGGACTTCCAATGAGTTCTAACAAATCCATCAAACAATTTTTCGTATCTTCTTCATATGTGCTCCGATTCCAACAATTATTGGCTCGTTGGAATGTGCTCGATGTCATGCACAATCCAAGCACATCTGCACAAGCACAAGATGAACATGCAAAGACATGCAAACCCAACAAACCATACAAACAACGTAGCACACAAAACACATGCAAACGAAATGATGCGAACAGACGACAGGATGACGTGCAAATGAATATGCACCAACACTTTACGCGGTCTGCCAATTTCTCTCTCACATCTTCCCGGACATTACTGACTGTCTTCCCTCAACTTCACCGAGAACCCGACCATTCCGACTCCTCGCACAAAAGAGGAAGCACTTTCGGGGCCTTATAAGAAGGAGTGGAAGGCAGCAATGGATGTGGAGAACGAGGCGTTCATTTGCAACAACAGCTTTGACGATGTTGTTCCCCCTTCCGGTGTCAACATCGTCAGCGGAAAATGGATCTTCCGAGTCAAACAACTCCCAGGCGAAGCTCCACTGTTCAAGGCACGATACGTGGTGAAGGGTTTCACCCAGAAGGAGTATCTCAACTTCTTCGAAACATTCTTGCCCACGGCCAAGCTCCCGACTGTGCGCGCTCTTCTTGATATAGCCGCTCGCGGCAACTTCGAGATCAAGTCCATGGACGCCTCCTCCACCTTTCTCCAAGGCCAGCTCAAGGAGGATGTTCACATGGAACGCCCACCAGGGTTTCCTGGCACTTACCCTGCCAACACAGTGTGGAAGCTGAAGCGCCCAGTGTATGGCCTCAAGCAGGCTCCTCGTGAGTGGCACAACAAGGTGAAGGAAGTCCTCCTCGCACTTGACTTCCATCCCTCTGCCTCAGATTCCAGTCTCTTCGTTCGTCACTCCTCCGAGCCCTTCTACATCCTCGTCTACGTCGACGACTTCATTCTAGCCGCCAGAGATCCAGCCGACATGGCAGCTGTCCAGTCTGCTCTCAGCTCCGCCCTTCTCATGAAGGATCTTGGTGACCTCAAGAACTACCTGGGGATGGAGATCACTCGTGACTGCCAGGCTTGCACGATCACCCTCTCCCAGGAGTCCTACATCGACAACCTTCTCAAGCGGTTCGACATGGACTCCAGTAACTCTGTCTCCACTCCACTCCCACTACAGCATCAGCTCACGACCCCTCCAGTTCCTTCTCCTGACGCCTGCAAGGACCCGTACCCTGAGCTAGTCGGTTCACTCATGTATGCCATGATGTGCACTCGACCAGACTTGGCTTACCCGGTTAGCGTCCTTTCTCGGTACGTCTCCCCCGGACGCTACACTGCCTCGCATTGGTCTGCAGCCAAGAGGGTCCTCCGCTATCTACAAGCCACCAAGTCTCACATCCTCACTCTTGGTGGTACCTCTCCAGTCAAGCTCTGTTGGTTAGAGAAGGCTATAATGTTGGTTAGAGAAGGCTATAAGCAGATGATTCAATGGCTCCTTGGAAATTTCTGCAGCACTTCGTTATGACGCCCAGAAAACTCGCGACCTTCGAATAGCTATATCAAAAACTCCAATCGGTGAAACGATCTGAAAATCGGATATGTTGTAGCTGGCAGTGTCAGCTTTCCACTGAAAGTTGAATCACTCGATTCCGTAGCTAAACGAGTGAGCTATGGCGTTTGGCGCACTGGGGGGTAATCTGCCCTAGGAGAAGTTGACAGTCCTCAGAGTCACTATGATTGAAGCTTACAAGTTCAGAGACATGATGGAAAAGGCATTGAAGCATAGTTGGAAGGTGGGGTAGGAAGTGAAGGATGAAAGGGAAGGACCCTGGAGGCCCATGGTCAAGAACATGACAAGAGTCAAAGTTTTGACTCCCCATCCTCAGGTTCAGCCAGCCTGGCAAGACAAATTTCACACTGTGCCAGGTTGGCCTCCAAACCCCAAATGCTGCAGCTGCAAGGTGGGGACAAAAGTCTCACACATGCTGGTCCCTCCTCGTTATAGGGCTCTCCAGCTTTGGTGTAGCAGCTGACAAGGACTTCCAATGAGTTGTAACAAATCCATCAAACATTTCTTCGTAACTTCTTCATATGTGCTCCGATTCCAACAATTCTTGGCTCGTTGGAATGTGCTCGATGTCAGGCACAATCCAAGCACATCTGCACAAGCACAAGATGAACATGCAAAGACATGCAAACCCAACAAACCATACAAACAACGTAGCACACCTCCCACCATGCAGATGTATCCACCAACTGATGATGAATCCTCATGCTCAGAAGCCCACGTGGCATCAGCAAAACAGGAAAGGAACACCTTTCCTTCTCCGAGCTGCTCCCCCTTCTCTTTGAGGACTTCAATTCTTTTTTGACTGAGTTGAGCAGAGGCTGAATACTGTACTCCCACTGTAGGGTATGACTTGAGGTAGCGCACCACTCTCTTCGCTGCACCACACTGCTCTTCTGTTGGATTTTGCACTACTCGAGCCAGCTGTCCCACAGCAAAGCTGATGTCAGGCCGAGTATGCACAGCAGCGTAGAGTAGGTTCCCGACCATGGATTGGAATTGCCTCTGGTCTTCACTCTCAACTCCTTCTCCTTCAGCTGCCTTTATGAGTTTGAACTCGGAAGGCAAAGGTGTGACCACTTCCCGTTCTTCCTGCAGAGAGTACTTCTCAGCCAAGGTGTTGATGTACTGTCCCTGATGCAGTTTGAGCCAGCCACGTTCAGTATCCCGCTCAATATGCATTCCCAGGTAGTACCTTGCCTCTCTAAGTGACTTGCACTTGAACTGCTCTGTGAGCTTCCGCTGCACCCCATCGATCTCCTTGTCACTGCTGCTGAAGAGCAGGATGTCATCCACGTACACCAGCAGAAGCACAAGCGACTCCCCCTCGCTCATCAGGAATAGGCTCTCGTCGCATGCACTCGCACGGAATCCAATCCCTTCCAGTGCACTGGCCAGCCTGTTGTACCAGCATCTCGGGGCCTGCTTCAAGCCATAGATGGCCTTGTTAAGTTTGCAGACACGACCGGTTCCATCCTCATAGCCAGGTGGTTGAACCATGTATACCTCCTCTTCCACAATGCCATACAGAAAAGCGGTTACGATGTCCATCTGCTTCACCTTCCATTTGCGCACAGCAGCTACCGCCAGCAGCACACGTAGCGTTGGAGACTTAGCAGTTGGGGCAAACACTTCTTTGTAATCTTCCTTCGCTTTCTGCTGAAACCCCTTTGCCACCAGCCTGCTCTTGTAAACTGATGGCTCTCCTTTCTCATCCGTCTTGATTTTTGCCAGCCACTTGCACTGTATTGCCTTCTTCCCATTTGGCAAGTACACCAGGTCCCATGTGTGATTCTCCATCTTGCTGTTGTACTCTGCATCTCTTGAAACGAGCCACTTCCCCCGTTGAGGCCCGGCTAGCGCATGATCCATGCTCGGAGGTTGTATTGGTGCGTAAAAGCAGTATGCAGGCTCCTTGTCATCTGACTCTTGGTCATCACCCAAGAACAGCACTGCATCTTCGCCTTGAGCCTGTTCCTGCTGCTCAGTTGTGGCTCCTCCACTTGTGGAGCTCAACAGCTTTCTCATTGCCATTCTGGTACGTGCAGGGTAGATGGTTGGATTTACCCATTCTTTCACCTTCACCCAATCCTTTGTCCCCCCACCAATCTGTTTCCTTCGCTTTGACAGACTTGGTGTTTTGGAAGCCTCTTGCTGCTGCTGCTCCGGATCCTTGACTTCAGCATCAGCTGCAATATCCTCATTGCTTCCTTCATCAGTACCGCTTGCCGTTGGCGCAGTGACTTCGCTGTCCTCAGGTTCGGACAGATCGAAGTGCATAGTGATCTCTTCCAGCTGCTGGGTGACCCTTGCCTCCGGCTGCTTCTCCCACTTGCCATACATGATGTTCTCCACAAATTTGACATCCCGACTATCAAACAGCACATTCTTTGAGGGCTCCCAGAGTAGCCACCCCTTGCTCTCTGCCGCAAGCCCAAGGTGCACACACCAAAGTGCAGATGCTCCAAGCTTTGTCCTGTACGGTTTAGGGACATGCGCCACTGCCATGCATCCGAACACTCGAAGCATGTCCACTGGAGGCTTCTTTCCAAGCCACCTCTCCAGCGGCACCCACATATCATCAGCCACCTTTGTGAGTACGCGGTTCCTTGCCACTGTAGCATGCCTCACCGCATGAGGCCACATGGAGTTCCCCAGCCCTGATTCGATCAGCAGCGCTCGCGCAGTTTCCAGGATGGTCCTATTAGCCCTCTCAGCAACGCCATTTGACTGAGGGGTATAGGACGTCGTTAGCTGATGCTCAATGCCTTGTTTCTTGAGCCACGCAGTCAGATCTCCTCCTAGAAACTCTCCACCTCGGTCGGTTCTGATGCTCTTGCATGGGTGCCCAGATTGTCGCTCGACGAACGGCAGCCAATCATCTCGTATTGTTGAGGCAGCATGATCCTTCTGCTTCAACGGGTATGCCCACATCAGCCGACTCCAGTCATCAACTATTGTCAGGAAGTACCTTTCCCCCTTACTTCCTCGGACTGGAAAAGGTCCTACGAGGTCCATGTGCACCAGTTCCAGTGCTGCCTTGCTTTTCCCAGCTACGCCGTGAAAGGGGAACCGTGTGAACTTGCTCAGCAGACACGTCTCGCACTTGGTAGCATTTGGTTGCCCAGAAAGCTTGAGCCCCTTTACTGCTTCTTCCTTATGCAGTTGCTGCAGCAATGGCATAGCCACATGCCCTAGACGCCTGTGTGCGGTTTCCCAATCAGTCTCCCCCGACCTTGCAGAAACCGTCACTCCTGCAGCACTAACTGCATTACACTCCCCCTGGACTCCAGAACCCGCCTTTACTTCTCCCAACTCCTTCTTTGTTGATTCCCATATCAGTGCAGGGATCTGCCACATGGATCTGAAGACATCTCTGCTTTCGTGTAAATCCCATAACACACGATCTCCTCGCAGCCCCTTGAATGTTTTGGATCCATTGGTGGTGGTGCTGACTCCGGCCTGGCCTAGCTTGCGCAGCGATATCAGGTTGGCCTTCAGCCCCGGTACGAGTAACACATCCTTCAGCACAACCAGTCCACCATCAGGTGCTCTGAATGCAGCTCGACCAACTCCAGCGACCTTCACTGCATGTCCGGATGCTGAGCGCACTTCAGAGATTGGAGGCGCTCGCACAGCATCCAGCAAGTCCTTGCGTGGTGTCATTGTCCATGCAGCACCAGAGTCCATGACCCACATGTCAAGCGGGTGCAATTCCTCTCCAGCCCTTGCAACAGCTGTGCCACTGTCATCTTTGTCACACACATGGTAGAACTGTCCAGCATTCCTCTCCTCATTTCGCATTCCTCTGTCATCCTTGGAGGTTTCTTCAGCAGGATCAGCTACCATGTTGGCACCTCCATGTGGTTGTTTTCCTCCATTCCCCTTCTCCGATTGGTTCCAAGGGGTCCACCAGTCGGGCTTGGTAGGGCAGCGAAACCATGGATGCCCTTCTTCCTTGCAATACCAGCACTCTCCCCTCAAGCGTGGTTCACTGTTGTCATTGTTGGAGTGACCACCTCTTCCTCTTGCACCAGCGCCACCACGCCCCCGCTGGTTCCAAGTCCCGCGACCACCTTGGCTGTGGTAAGAGCGACCGCGATTGCCACGCCCTCGATCCCTCCATGTCCCTTGCATGGCATAGCCGCTGGTGCTGTCATCACCTCCGCGCAGTGTATAGCGACGAAAATCTTCTTCCAGAATCTTGGTGCGAATCCACTCCAATGTCCATTGACTTTGGTTTTGTGGCAAGCTGAGTCCGCTTATAAATTGCAGCCAAGACTCCGGCAGCAGGCTGAGCATCTTGAGACACTTTGTCTGCTCTGGGTACGTGATGCCTGCAATCGCCAATTTCGCGTAGAGTTCCCTCATCTTGTCCAGTACGGGCTGCACAGCTTCATTCTCGCTCAACCGCAGCATGGACAGCTCCCGATCCAGCATGAGAGAAGCGGCAACCGATGTCGGAGCGTGCAGGTCCTTGAGCACTGCCCATGCCTTGGGCCCACAATCAATTTCCGGTAGCAGATGCATGATGTGATGCCTCTGGTTCAGCTCCAAGCTTTGTGACAGTAGATAGTACCCAGCAGATGAACGTTCATCCCAGTCCGCTTGCTCTGCCATTTCCTTTGGCCTTGGCTCCGTTCCAATCATGAGCTTCAAGAGGCCAATTTGTCGAAAGTAGAGCTGCATCTTCCATGCCCAATCATCATAGCCATCTCCAGAGAACTTCTCAATGGTGAAGTTCTTCAGCACCTCCTTAAGCAGTGACCCCTGGCTTGTACGCGCTCCCCTTTGCGCTGCAATGCCAGAATCTTGGGTTGAGCTGCCTCCTTGGACTGAAGTATCACCTCCACCAGAGTCCTCTTTATCTCCCATCGTATTTTAGGTCCCAAATGCGTGATAATAGGCTCTGATACCACTTGTTGGTTAGAGAAGGCTATAAGCAGATGATTCAATGGCTCCTTGGAAATTTCTGCAGCACTTCGTTATGACGCCCAGAAAACTCGCGACCTTCGAATAGCTATATCAAAAACTCCAATCGGTGAAACGATCTGAAAATCGGATATGTTGTAGCTGGCAGTGTCAGCTTTCCACTGAAAGTTGAATCACTCGATTCCGTAGCTAAACGAGTGAGCTATGGCGTTTGGCGCACTGGGGGGTAATCTGCCCTAGGAGAAGTTGACAGTCCTCAGAGTCACTATGATTGAAGCTTACAAGTTCAGAGACATGATGGAAAAGGCATTGAAGCATAGTTGGAAGGTGGGGTAGGAAGTGAAGGATGAAAGGGAAGGACCCTGGAGGCCCATGGTCAAGAACATGACAAGAGTCAAAGTTTTGACTCCCCATCCTCAGGTTCAGCCAGCCTGGCAAGACAAATTTCACACTGTGCCAGGTTGGCCTCCAAACCCCAAATGCTGCAGCTGCAAGGTGGGGACAAAAGTCCCACACATGCTGGTCCCTCCTCGTTATAGGGCTCTCCAGCTTTGGTGTAGCAGCTGACAAGGACTTCCAATGAGTTGTAACAAATCCATCAAACATTTCTTCGTAACTTCTTCATATGTGCTCCGATTCCAACAATTCTTGGCTCGTTGGAATGTGCTCGATGTCATGCACAATCCAAGCACATCTGCACAAGCACAAGATGAACATGCAAAGACATGCAAACCCAACAAACCATACAAACAACGTAGCACACAAAACACATGCAACGAAATGATGCGAACAGACGACAGGATGACGTGCAAACGAATATGCACCAACATATAAGCAGATGATTCAATGGCTCCTTGGAAATTTCTGCAGCACTTCGTTATGACACCCAGAAAACTTGCGACCTTCGAAAAGCTATATCCAAAACTCCAATCGATGAAACAATCTGAAAATCGGATATGTTGTCGCTGGCAGCGTCAGCTTTCCACTGAAAGTTGAATCACTCGATTCCGTAGCTTATCAAGTGAGCTATGGCGTTTGACGCACTGGGGGGTAATCTGCCCTAGGAGAAGTTGACAATCCTCAGAGTCACTATTATTGAAGCTTACAAGTTCAGAGACATGATGGAAAAGGCATTGAAGCATAGTTGGAAGGTGGGGTGGGAAGGGAAGGATGAAAGGGAAGGACCCTGGAGGCCCTTGGTCAAGAACATGACAAGAGTCAAAGTCTTGACTCCCCATCCTCAGGTTCAGCCAGCCTGGCAAGACAAAATTCACACTGTGCCAGGTTGGTCTCCAAACCCCAAGTGCTGCAGCTGCAAGGTGGGGACAAAAGTCCCACACATGCTGGTCCCTCCTCGTTTTAGGGCTCTCCAACTTTGGTGTAGCAGCTGCCAAGGACTTCCAATGAGTTGTAACAAATCCATCAAACATTTCTTCGTAACTTCTTCATATGTGCTCCGATTCCAACAATTCTTGGCTCGTTGGAATGCGCTCGATCTGATGTACAATCCAAGCACATCTGCACAAGCACAAGATGAATATGCAAAGACATGCAAACCCAACAAACCATACAAACAACGTAGCACACAAAACACATGCAACGAAATGATGCGAACAGACGACAGGATGACGTGCAAACGAATATGCACCAACACACTCCCCCTCAGACTGTCGGCTTGTTTCGCCGTCGCTAGTTCAAGGACATTCCCGCCATCCTCGCACAGCGCCAGTGTGGCTCTTCAGCTAGCCGCTTGGTAAGGAAGTCGGCTGGCTGTTGCTGAGTTTTCACGTAGATCGGATCCAGTGTCCCAAGCTTCACCTCCTTCCGCAGCCAATGCCACTTGATCCTCATGTGCTTGTTCAACCCATGAAGAACTGCATTGCGTGCCATGGCAATGGCTCCCTTGCTATCACTGAACAGAGGTGTCGCACAAGTCTGTTCATGGCCGATCTCCTTCAAGAGCCTCCTTAGCCAGATGATTTCTTTTGCCGCATGAAACATCGCCATGTACTCAGATTCCACTGAAGATAGTGCCGTCTCAGACTGCTTCTTGGACCTCCAACTTACAGGCCCACCTCCCACCATGCAGATGTATCCACGAACTGATGATGAATCCTCATGCTCAGAAGCCCACGTGGCATCAGCAAAACAGGAAAGGAACACCTTTCCTTCTCCGAGCTGCTCCCCCTTCTCTTTGACGACTTCAATTCCTTTTTGACTGAGTTGAGCAGAGGCTGAATACTGTACTCCCACTGTAGGGTATGACTTGAGGTAGCGCACCACTCTCTCCGCTGCACCACACTGCTCTTCTGTTGGATTTTGCACTACTCGAGCCAGCTGTCCCACAGCAAAGCTGATGTCAGGCCGAGTATGCACAGCAGCGTAGAGTAGGCTCCCGACCATGGATTGGAATTGCCTCTGGTCTTCACTCTCAACTCCTTCTCCTTCAGCTGCCTTTATGAGTTTGAACTCGGAAGGCAAAGGTGTGACCACTTCCCGTTCTTCCTGCAGAGAGTACTTCTCAGCCAAGGTGTTGATGTATTGTCCCTGATGCAGTTTGAGCCAGCCACGTTCAGTATCCCGCTCAATATGCATTCCCAGGTAGTACCTTGCCTGTCCAAGTGACTTGCACTTGAACTGCTCTGTGAGCTTCCGCTGCACCCCATCGATCTCCTTGTCACTGCTGCTGAAGAGCAGGATGTCATCCACGTACACCAGCAGAAGCACAAGTGACTCCCCCTCTCCCATCAGGAACAGGCTCTCGTCGCATGCACTCGCACGGAATCCAATCCCTTCCAGTGCACTGGCCAGCCTGTTGTACCAGCATCTCGGGGCCTGCTTCAAGCCATAGATGGCCTTGTTAAGTTTGCAGACACGACCGGTTCCATCCTCATAGCCAGGTGGTTGAACCATGTACACCTCCTCTTCCACAATGCCGTACAGAAAAGCGGTTACGATGTCCATCTGCTTCACCTTCCATTTGCGCACAGCAGCTACCGCCAGCAGCACACGTAGCGTTGGAGACTTAGCAGTTGGGGCAAACACTTCTTTGTAATCTTCCTTCTCTTTCTGCTGAAACCCCTTTGCCACCAGCCTGCTCTTGTAAACTGATGGCTCTCCTTTCTCATCCGTCTTGATTTTTGCCAGCCACTTGCACTGTATTGCCTTCTTCCCATTTGGCAAGTACACCAGGTCCCATGTGTGGTTCTCCATCTGGCTGTTGTACTCTGCATCTCTTGAAACGAGCCATTTCCCCCGTTGAGGCCCGGCTAGCGCATGATCCATGCTCGGAGGTTGTATTGGTGCGTAAAAGCAGTATGCAGGCTCCTCGTCATCTGACTCTTGGTCATCACCCAAGAACAGCACTGTATCTTCGCCTTGAGCCTGTTCCTGCTGCTCAGTTGTGGCTCCTTCACTTGTAGAGCTCAGCAGCTTTCTTGTTGCCATTCTGGTACGTGCAGGGTAGATGGTTGGATTTACCCATTCTTTCACCTTCACCCAATCCTTTGTCCCCCCACCAATCTGTTTCCTTCGCTTTGGCAGACTTGGTGTTTTGGAAGCCTCTTGCTGCTGCTGCTCCGGATCCTTGACTTCAGCATCAGCTGCAATATCCTCATTGCTTCCTTCATCAGTACCGCTTGCCGTTGGCGCAGTGACTTCGCTGTCCACAGGTTCGGACAGATCGAAGTGCATAGTGATCTCTTCCAGCTGCTGGGTGACCCTTGCCTCCGGCTGCTTCTCCCACTTGCCATACATGATGTTCTCCACAAATTTGACATCCCGACTGTCAAACAGCACATTCTTTGAGGGCTCCCAGAGTAGCCACCCCTTGCTCTCTGCCGCAAGCCCAAGGTGCACACACCACAGTGCAGATGCTCCAAGCTTTGTCCTGTACGGTTTAGGGACATGCGCCACTGCCATGCATCCGAACACTCTGAGCATGTCCACTGGAGGCTTCTTTCCAAGCCACCTCTCCAGCGGCACCCACATATCATCAGCTACCTTTGTGAGTACGCGGTTCCTTGCCACTGTAGCATGCCTCACCGCGTGAGGCCACATGGAGTTCCCCAGCCCTGATTCGATCAGCAGCGCTCGCGCAGTTTCCAGGATGGTCCTATTAGCCCTCTCAGCAACGCCATTTGACTGAGGGGTATAGGACGTCGTTAGCTGATGCTCAATGCCTTGTTTCTTGAGCCACGCAGTCAGATCTCCTCCTAGAAACTCTCCACCTCGGTCGGTTCTGATGCTCTTGCATGGGTGCCCAGATTGTCGCTCGACGAGCGGCAGCCAGTCATCTCGTATTGTTGAGGCAGCATGATCCTTCTGCTTCAACGGGTATGCCCACATCAGCCGGCTCCAGTCATCAACTATTGTTAGGAAGTATCTTTCCCCCTTTCTTCCTTGAACTGGAAAAGGTCCTACCAGGTCCATGTGCACCAGTTCCAGTGCTGCCTTGCTTTTCCCAGCTACACCGTGAAAGGGGAACCGTGTGAACTTGCTCAGCAGACACGTCTCGCACTTGGTATCATTTGGTTGCCCAGAAAGCTTCAGCCCCTTTACTGCTTCTTCCTTATGCAGTTGCTGCAGCAATGGCATAGCCACATGCCCTAGACGCCTGTGTGCGGTTTCCCAATCAGTCTCCCCCGACCTTGCAGAAACCATCACTCCTGCAGCACTAACTGCATTGCACTCCCCCTGGACTCCAGATCCCGCCTTTACTACTCCCAGCTCCTTCTTTGTTGATTCCCATATCAGCGCAGGGATCTGCCACATGGATTTGAAGACATCCCTGCTTTCGTGTAAATCCCATAACACACGATCTCCTCGCAGCCCCTTGAATGTTTTGGATCCATTGGTGGTGGTGCTGACTCCGGCCTGGCCTAGCTTGCGCAGCGATATCAGATTGGCCTTCAGCCCCGGTACGAGTAAGACATCCTTCAGCACAACCAGTCCACCATCAGGTGCTCTGAATGCAGCTCGACCAACTCCAGCGACCTTCACTGCATGTCCGGATGCTGAGCGCACTTCAGAGATTGGAGGCGCTCGCACAGCATCCAGCAAGTCCTTGCGTGGTGTCATTGTCCATGCAGCACCAGAGTCCATGACCCACATGTCAAGCGGGTGCAATTCCTCTCCAGCCCTTGCAACAGCTGTGCCACTGTCATCTTTGTCACACACATGGTAGAACTGTCCAGCATTCCTCTCCTCATTTCCCATTCCTCTGTCATCCTTGGAGGTTTCTTCAGCAGGATCAGCTACCATGTTGGCACCTCCACGTGGTTGCTTTCCTCCATTCCCCTTTTGCGATTGGTTCCAAGGGGTCCACCAGTCGGGCTTGGTAGAGCAGCGAAACCATGGATGCCCTTCTTCCTTGCAATACCAGCACTCTCCCCTCAAGCGTGGTTCACTGTTGTCATTGTTGGAGTGACCACCTCTTCCTCTTGCACCAGCGCCACCACGCCCCCGCTGGTTCCAAGTCCCGCGACCACCTTGGCTGTAGTAAGAGCGACCGCGATTGCCACGCCCTCGATCCCTCCATGTCCCTTGCATGGCATAGCCGCTGGTGCTGTCATCACCTCCGCGCAGTGTGTAGCGACGAAAATCTTCTTCCAGAATCTTGGTGCGAATCCACTCCAATGTCCATTGACTTTGGTTTTGTGGCAAGCTGAGTCCGCTTATAAATTGCAGCCAAGACTCGGGCAGCAGGCTGAGCATCTTGAGACACTTAGTCTGCTCAGGGTACGTGATGCCCGCAATCGCCAATTTCGCGTAGAGTTCCCTCATCTTGTCCAGAACGGGCTGCACAGGTTCATTCTCGCTCAACCGCAGCATGGACAGCTCCCGATCCAGCATGAGAGAAGCGGCAACCGATGTCGGAGCGTGCAGGTCCTTGAGCACTGCCCATGCCTTGGGCCCACAATCAGTTTCCGGTAGCAGATGCATGATGTGATGCCTCTGGTTCAGCTCCAAGCTTTGTGACAGTAGATAATACCCAGCAGATGAACGTTCATCCCAGTCCGCTTGCTCTGCCATTTCCTTTGGCCTGGGCTCCGTTCCAATCATGAGCTTCAAGAGGCCAATTTGTCGAAAGTAGAGCTGCATCTTCCATGCCCAATCATCATAGCCATCTCCAGAGAATTTCTCCGTTCCATGGGGCTATGTGCTCGTTGACCATTCGTCAATTCTAAGTGCCGCCATCGGCATCAATATTTGAAGCTGTCTGACGGAATTCTGACTGTGCACAATTTCATCATTTTAGGCACATCTGAGCGTATTGTGGTTAGAACAAGTGGTATCAGAGCCCCTTGAAGCCATTTCGACCATGCATAGACCTGAGGAACGGGGTGGCAGAGTTGCTGGAGGCAGAGAAGACGCCCAAGCACAAGGTCAAAACCAAGATCAACCCATTGCTCTTGTGCAACCTAGTCTCGGCCCCTCTAGGGATGAGCCTAGAGTGTTTGGCCTTGACAAGTTCAACGGTGACAACTTTGCTGAGTGGTCCTTCAAGATGGAGAACATCTTTGACCACTATGATTTGCTGGAGGTGATGGAAGGAACGGAGAAGCGCCCCGAGAACGACCTGGAGAAGAGCCCGTGGGTGCGGAAGAGCGCACAAGGCTATCTTCAACTGGGGCAAGCGTTGGGGAGCAGCCAAATCCGCCACATCAAGCCTTTTCAGCATGAACCAGCAAAGGGACCAAAGGCATGGGCTGCTCTCAAGGGTGTACACGCTCCTGCAACAGCGGTCGTGGCTGTGGTCTTGGAGCGGCAAATGGCGGCACTTAGAATTGACGAAGACGAACAAGTGGAGGAAGGAGTGCAGAAATTCTTCGACTTGTTGACACGGCTCGAAGAAGCTGAGCTGAACTACAGTGACCTTCAAAAGAAGACCAAGCTGCTGGCCTTACTTCCAGACTCATGGTCCTCGCTCATCATCAACCAAAATCGAGATCTGCCCCGCCTCTCGCTCGAAGATGTGAAGCGGGAAAACTTGCAAGAAGATTTCTGCCGTCGTGAATTGGCGGGTCCCGATGGTGCCGGAGTTGCAAGCATGGGCCGTGGGCACGGCCATGGAAGGGGCAGAGGGCGAGGAGGTAGATTTGGAAGCAGCTACTTCAATGGAGGCCGTGGTAATGGAGGATATGGCAGCAACAACAACAACAATGGCTACGGGCGTGGGCGCGGTCGATTTGATGGCGAATGCCACTTTTGCCACAAGACCGGCCACATGTGGAGAGATTGCTTCAAACTGCCTAATGGTTGGACCCCTTCTCAAGGCCAAGAGGGCAGAGGAGCAAGGGGAGGAAGAGGCAGAGGTCATGGAGGCCGTGGTGGTCGTGGAAGCGAACCGGTAAGCATGAAAGGTGGAGACTACGAGACGGGCCCGAGTGAAGATCGATACCCGGGCCAATTCTTCTTTGTCTCCACGCAAGCGGCAGCAGCAGCGGGAGCTGTGGAAGGCTTTGAGGAGCCAGCTACTATGGGAGATGTCACCCTTAACTCTCTGGAATTTTGGGTGATCGACAGTTGCGCCACTTATAGCATGACACCTCGTGCGGGCTTGCTCACCGAGCTCGAACCGTTGCCGGTCAAGCATGTTACATCGGCTTTGGGGCAGCGAGCAGAGGTGAAATGCATGGGCAAGGCCATGTTCAAGGGTGCTGATGGGAATATTTTGGGCCTCAAGAACGTGCTTTGGGTGCCCAACCTAGCAGCCAGCCTGATTTCCGTGCGGCGTTTGCAAAAGGCCGGCATGGACACATCTTCCAAGGGATCCAAAACCTATACCGCGAGGCTTGGTGAGCGGAAGCTTTGGGACCTTCATAAGGATAGGGACATCTACAATGAGATGTTGCAAATCCCAGTGGTCCCTATGCCTAAGGGGAGGCAAGTGGCAGCAAGCGTCAGCACCAAGAGTGAAGCGGTTGGTGGCGGTGATCACGGAAAGCAAAGTGACACCAAGAGTGACTCAAAGGAATGCAATCTTGGAGAGACCAGCAAGGCGTGTGAACCCAAGGAGAATGGTGCAGCAGCCAAATGTGGTGGAAATGAGGAGGAGAAGCCTAAGATCAGCAAAGCAGAAGCGGCAAAGGAGAAAGGAGAGAGCTTGTGGGGCACAATTGCGAGTGCCGCTTTCTCCAACCCGACTTCCGCTACGGGAGAGTGTGATTGGCTGACCTTGCATCGGCGAATGGGGCATGTGGCGTTGCCCATTTTGCAGCAGATTGTTAAGCAAGAGATGGTCAGTGGGATATGTATCAAGGGGGAGCCCAATGAGGTGCTTGGCTGTCTAACATGCACGCAAGCCAAGTTCACCTGCTATCCGTTCTATAGCTTGGAGACAACGGCGAAGGCACCACTCGATGAGGTGGTGATGGATGTGGTGGGCCCCTCGAAGCTTGGAGCTGCTGGAGCAGAGTACTTCCTCACCATTGTGGACGTCTACACTCGCATGACATGGGTGTATATGCTGCCCAAGAAGAGTGACATAGCTGAAACGGTGAAGACCGATTGGTTGCCGATGGTGGAGCGGCAACAAGACCGGCTTGTGAAGGCGATTCGCACTGACCGTGGGGGAGAGTTCATGAGCAAGGACTTCTCAACTTGGCTGAAGAAGCAAGGCATAAGACACTCTCTTATCATGCCCTACTCTCCTGCAATGAACGGCATCGCCGAGCGTGCGAATCGGACACTCACGGAGACGGCTCGGGGACTTCTCATTGAAGCCGGTCTTCCCAATTACTTTTGGCCGGATGCGGTGCGGCATGCTTGTGTGGCCATGAACACAGCCTTGAATCATGTGGGAGAAGACAAATTGGTGCCCTATGTGGAGTGGATTGGAAGGAAGCCAAAGGTGGATATGCTTCGGGTGTTCGGGTGCATGTGCATGGCACTTGTGCCTAAGAAACTTCGGCACAACAAGCTTAAAACCAAGGCAACATGGGCCGTGCACCTGGGCATGGCTCAAAACAGCAAGGGATGGCTTCTTTGGGACCCATTTACCAAGAAGTTCTTGGTGATCAGAAATTGCAAGTTCATGGAAAACTTACCGTACAAGGAGTGGAAGGCGGAGAACCAAGGAAGAGTGGTGTGCGGCTTGGAGAGGTGAAGAGTACCGGCTTGGAGCATGTGAAGCTGCCCTTGGAGCTGAGTAGCAGCAGCACAATCACAAGGCAATCTCCTCAAATGAATGGGGGAGAAGAGGAGGAGGAGGTGCAGCAAGGTGATGAGCGTGCACCGTCACTTCCGCCTCGTGCTACAAGTGCTCGCGGGAACCGACCAGATTTGCAGCAACGCCATGAGAGCATCCAAGTCCCTGCAAGGAATGGGGAGAAGGAAGACTCAGCCCCCCAATAGGTTGAGCTATGACCGGCTTGGAAGACCAGCCAACTCAACCTTGACCGGTTCGGCACTAAATGCTAGGCGATGATGCGGAAGATGACAGCGAGGAGTGCGCTTTTGCCTTTTTCTCTCCGGTGGAGATGCCGGGGGAGCCTACAAATCTCAAGGAGGCTTGGGAGGGCCCCAATTGGAAGGAGTGGAAGAAGGCCTCAGATGACAAAATGGGGAGCATCATAGAGAACAACACATTTGACTTGGTGAATCTACCTCAGGGGCGGAACGCGATCTCTTCCAAGTGGATCTTCAACCGCAAGACCGACGCCGATGGCAACATCGAGCGCTACAAGAGCAGAATTGTAGCCAAGGGATACCAGCAGCAGGAGAAGAAGGACTACAATGAAGTATATGCCCTTGTGGTTAAGGGTACAACCCTTCGAACTCTCTTCCCCGCGGTGGCCATCAAAGGATGGGTGGTGAAGCAAATGGATATTGTAAGGGCCTTCCTCAACGGAGTTTTGGAGGAAGAGACCCTCATGGAGCAGCCAGAGGGGTACAATGATGGGAGTGGCAGAGTGTGGAAGCTGAAGAAAGCACTCTATTCCCTCAAGCAAGCCCCTAGGCAATGGTACATCAAGCTGCGGGAAGTCTTGGAGGCGATCGGCTTCACTCCCTCAACGGCCGATCAATCCTTGTTCATGCTTGGCGAGGGGGAGCAGAGGAGCTTCATGGTGGTTTATGTGGGTGACATCCTCATATTCTCACCCTCCTCTGACCTTGGGAAGGAGGTGATGCTGAAGCTTCATGACAAGTTCAAGTGCAAGACCCTTGGTGACGTCAACTACTACCTTGGGCTTCACATTGAGCGAGATGTGGAGAAGCGGTGGATGCGAGTGCATCAAAAGAAGTACTTGGAGGCCTTGGCTGCAAACTTTGGGAATAGTGAAGGTCATGTGGCTACTCCTCTTCCCTCAGGATTCAAGTATGTGAAAGGACCGGTGGAGGAAAGTGTTGGTGAAGAGGAGAGGCGCCGTTTTCACTCCTTGGTGGGCAGCCTCAAGTATGCGGTCGTTCACGCAAGACCGGATGCAGCCTTTGCTACCGGGCAGCTTGCTAGGGTTGTTCAATGCCCTAATGAATAGCAGGTAGCAGCTGGAGAGAGGTTGGCCAGGTACCTTGGCCAAACAGCAACTGTTGGACTGCAATAGTCCGCGGCGGCACAAAGGCGTCAAAAGGGTGCAGATGGAGTCAAACCCGGGAGGCTCTTTCTCACCGCCTTCTCTGATGCATCTTGGGCATCAGAACCAGAGGACATGACAAGTTTGGGAGGCTTCATCTGCTGTGTTGGTGGAGTACCAACAGCTTGGGAGAGCAAGAAACAAGTGGACCAAGCATTGAGCTCGGTGGAGTCCGACTACATGGCACTCTTCCGTGCCATAAGAGAGGTTATGTGGCAGCGGCGTTTGCTAGCTGAATTGGGGGAGGAGCACCAAGGACCTACCCCACTCTACTGTGATAGCCAAGGTGCTATTGCATTGGCAAAGAACCCCGTTCTTCATGGTCTTACCAAGCACATGAAGGTGAAGTGGCATTGGGTGAGGAGCATG